GCCAAGGAAGACACAGGGAACAGCGCGGGCGGAGAGCTTGTCCGCGGTGGTATCGCAGACAAAGGCACGAGCACCCCAGACCCGGAAACGCGACGCATCGCCAACCTTCCCCGTCCACAGCAGCGTGGGCGAGGGGGGCCAGAGGTTGAGCTGATGCGCGGCGTACCGGACCGCAAACGGCCACAGAAAATGGGGGGCAGCCGCATGGATCATGGAGGTACGAGCGACCTCCATGACTAAGCCAATGCGGCGCTCAGCAACCCCATTCTGTTGCGGAGAGGCCGGAAGCGTGAACGTCTGACGGATGCCGTGCTCCGCACAGAAGGCTGCCAAGAGGTCTGAGGAGAACTCACCACCTCTGTCAGAGTGCAGACGCAGGACGGGAAACTCCGTCCCAAACCGCTCGCGGAGCTGGAGACGGGCAGCGCGGATCCAAGGGATCAAAACATCAGGGACCTCCCCCTTGCTGCGCAAGGGGAAGATCGTGGTGTAACGCGTGTAGTCGTCGACAACCAGCAGGAAGTACCGCTCGTGACCCTGTCCACGGATGCGGGCTGGGCCCCACACGTCCAGGTGGAGAGTCTGCAGGGGAGCCTCTGTGGGAGGGAACGAGGAGGAGTGAGGAGCGGCGCGCTGCCGCCCCTCGACGCAAGGAATGCAGGGCGGCGCAAGCGAGGGAGGGAGGGCAGGCAAAGACCTGGGAAGACCAGAAACCAAGGAGCGAGAGTGCATGCCACGAAGGCGCTGCACCGAGGGGTGACCAAGGCGGTGGTGCCACAGGAGGGTCTGGTGCGACAAAGCGCGACACTCGCAGGGGGCCGCTAGCTGACCTGACGCAGACGCAGACGCAGCTACCTGAGGGGACTCAGTGGTCAGGGTGTACAGGCTCGAGCCAGGCGCACGGGTAAACGTGGCAAGGTGTCGGCCCGTCCGAGCACACGTACAGTGAGTCACTCGCTGACTCGCAGGCACGGTCAACACTAGTAGGCAATGCATACATGGCAGTGAGAATAGCATCATAGTCAAGAGCAAAGATATCTACCCCCTGTCCAAGCAGCTCCAGCCAGGTGGGGAGCTCAGCCTCGTCGCCAAACACGGTACGCCAGGCATCGCTCAGACGGGCGAAGCAGCGGGACTGTGTGTGACTAAGCGTCCCGCACGGCTGACCAGTCCGAGCACCTGTGCGAATGACGTACTGGCAGCGAACTGTACTCAAAGACCCGCTACTCTGAGCGTACCACTCATGGAGCTGCTGGGACGTAAGTGTCTCGCGTGGACGCCGCTGCAGCTGCAGCTGGCCACTGCCAGACGCTCCCAACTGACCAGCTCCAGGGCGACAGCTACGACGGCTACCGCGACAGCCCCAACTAGTATACCACTCACTAAGCTGCTGGGGCGTGAGAGACTCGCGTGAACGTCGCTGGAGCTGCATCTGGCCACCTGCTAATAGCAGTAGTAGTAGCAGCAGCTCGCTCAGGCAGGCAGGCCGGCAGGCAGGCAGGCCGGCAGGCAGGCAGGCAGGCAGACAGGCAGGCAGGCCGGCAGGCAGGCAGGCAGACAGGCAGGTGCTCACCGAAGGCTGGAAGGGCAGGCGCTCGCCGGGCGAGCAGGGCCGGCGCTCGGCGGGCGGCGGCCGGGTAGGCGCACGACGGCGGCGACGGCGGGGCCGCAACAGCGGCTGCAGAGTAGGGCCGCGGCAGCTGCAGGGCGGGGCCGCTTCAGCGGCAGTCGCAGGGTGGGGCCGCGTCAGCGGCAGGTCGGGGCCGCTTCTATGGCCGGGCGGGTCTGCGCGAGCGGTGCGCGGGGCAGCAGCAGGCCAAGTGCAGGCTGCGTGGGCTCGGGGCGGGCTGCGGGAGGCAGCAGTGGGCTGCGCGGGGCAGCGCGCGGGGCTGCTACGGGCCGCGCGCAGGCTGCGCGAGGCAGCTGCGGGCTGCACGCGGCGCGGCGCGGGCTGCGCGGGCTCGGCGCGGGCTGCGCGCGACTCGGAGCGGGCTACGCGGGCTCGGCTGCAGCGGGCTGCGCGCGGCTCGGCGCGGGCTGCGCGGGATCGGCGCGGGCTGCGCGCGGCACGGCGCGGGCTGCGCGGGCTCGGGGCGGGCTACGCGCGGCTGCGCAAGGCGACGCGCGTGCAGGAAGTAAGCAGGAGGCAGGAGGCGTGACAGTCACAGTCACAGTCACAGGCTCATTCGTGGGGTAGCGGTAGGTGGGCCCGAAAAAAAACGGTCCTACGGACCTACTGCTCTGAAACCATGTTGGAAACTAGAGACAGGAATGGATCGGATTGAAAGAAGCAAGGGTACAAATAGGGAACCCTAGTTGGGGTTGTGCTCTATATTGGCTACCCCCAGGGCCTCAGATTCACTTTGAGGGTCGTCAACCCATCAGGGTCCCCTTGTGTAGAAACCCTGATTGACAGTGTTCCTTAAAAAAAAAGCCTGAAATATCAGTGTTGCCTTTAGAAAATGCCTGATGCATCAGTGTTCCACTAGAAAAAAGGTTGATACTATTAAAAAGTCCCTAGCAGCCTTTTGAAACATTGCTAAGCTAACATGCCTCATGAATCACCAGAATTCGTGTCATTGCTCTTAGCCTTGGTTCTCCCCCCTCCTCCCCAGCTTGGGACAAAAGCACGTGCCAGTTGCTCTGCCGCAGCACGCACCCCGGCTTCACTTCTGCATACACGTTGAAGCTGCAGGGGCAGAGTTTGGGGGGGGAACCGGATAGACAAGCAGGGAGGCTTGGAAAGAGAGAACAGGAGGGAGAGAGGAGGGGAAGACTGGCGCGGTTGGGGGGGAGATGACCGGGGGAGAGCGGGAGTGGACGGACTGCGGGGTAAAGGGAGCGGGGGAATGGACGACGGGCGCCCGGGTCATGCGCGGGTCATGCCGTCGCGCAGCACGACGCTGCGTGTGCCGCCTGCGGCGCGGATGGCCTTGCAGCCGCGGTTCGTGCTGGCGACGAGGCAGCCTTCGGTCGTCGCCATAAGCACGAAAAACACCGCGTCGTCGAGTCGTAGCGGGCCTGCGAAGCCGACGGGAATCGTTACGTTGCCGACGACCATCTTGCAGCACGCGCCGCAGATTGCGTCGAACGGGAGCGATGGGTTCGGCCTAGTGCAGACGAAAAAGCATGAGAGGAATCGGGCTGAGAGGGGGGGAGAGAGAAACGGGAGAAAACGAAACGGGAGAGATTGGATTGGAGGGAATGGGAGAATCAGTGCTTGCCAGCATCGGTGCAAGGAACGGTGTAGGAACCCTCTGCAGCCCTCCAGCACACATGATTGCCTGCAGCGAAACTGCCCAATGGAAAGTGGCGCGGCGCCAACAAAACAAACCCCGACGTGAACTTGTGGGTGAATTTGTCAGGTAGTACCTGCCACGCGATGCTGCCACCGAAGGAATCTGAGATTCCAAGTAATTGCGGGCAAATCCACACAGAACAAGCAACAATCGCTTTCAGTGTTAGTTTCGTTACAACGCTGTTGAGTCAGTGTACTTGGGAAAAAAAGCCTGGAAAATCAGTGTGGCCTAACAAAAAAAGTCTGAAAAATCAGTCTCTCTAAAAACTGATCACTAAAAAATCAGTGTAGGTACAAAAATTTACCCTGAAAATCAGGAATTTCAGGGTTTTTTTCCTGATATCTGAGGCCCTGGCTACCCCACTACAGCCTACAAACATATAGCACATTAATACTTTGACAAACAACACTTACCTCTCTTCTCTTTATATGTTTCACACCCCGCTCCCAGGAATCAACAGGACGAGGGCACAGAAGGAGATCAGCAGCTTCACCACGATCATGTCAACGCATCACCAGGAGCTGAGCTTCCATGATGGCCTGAAGCCAATGCTCAGCTCGCCCGACTGGTGCACGACCTACGCCAACCTGGTCCGCCTTTGGATGGCGGTCGCTGTCCTGCCCCTGACCACAGTGGAGTGCGAGCGAGGTTTTTCCCCCCATAACTGTCAGAATCCCAGTCACTAACCACTGGGATAAAAGGGCTTGTTTATATAGCGGGTGAGTGCGCCCATAACCCCCCAGGCCGACGTGCCTGTAACCCTTCCCTAGGATCATCGGGGATCCCCAGTGGACCTCTGACACCCCCCCGCACTGGGATGCCCGAAGTGCACACACCGGGAATCGAACCCGAGACCTTCGCTCTGATACCATGTCAGAATCCCAGTCACTAACCACTGGGATAAAAGGGCTTGTTTATATAGCGGGTGAGTGCGCCCATAACCCCCCAGGCCGACGTGCCTGTAACCCTTCCCTAGGATCATCGGGGATCCCCAGTGGACCTCTGACAATAACATCATTAAGAGCTGGCTGCGGAGCAATCTCAACGACCCCAAGCTTGGCGATCTGATGGCCATCTCCTTGCTGAAGTACGACCCTGACAGGCTCGCCCTTGTAGAGCTGTGGAGAGGTGCGAAGAAGAAATGTCCAGCCAAGGAGGTAGTGGTGCATGCGCAACAGCCCGTGAAACACACTAAGACAACCCTTGCAATGCTGGCTGCAAAACAAGCGGCAACAACAACAGCAGCAGCAGCAGCAGCAGAGGTGGACGCTCGTGACAGCAGCTGCAGAAGAAGCAACCAGGCTAGAAGAGGAGTTCGGCCCCTAGCATAGGAGGGCTGACAGAGACAAGGAGCAGATGGCTTCGGAACATGAATTTGAGGACGAGGAAGATTTGGGATTTTCACGATATTCTCCCATACTTGCACCTACTCGTTAACAACTATAATAAAGAATCTGTAAGAAAAGGGGGGTGTTATAAAAATCTCCCAAAGTGGGGGGTATAGTAGAAACGAGGTCGCCCATAGCACCCACCCCGCACAAGCTACCCGGGGGTGTACAATTTCGGGGGGTTGTTATGTCTGGGAGGATACGGTATCAGCGCGTGCAGAGGCTCAGCCCCACATAGAGCCTGGCATCGTTGCACATGTATCCGTTGTTCAGGTCTGCTAGCTTCTTCACACTGTTCTGGAACTTGAGCGATATGATGCGCGCACAGAAGTCCCCCCTCTTCACCGAGTAAGACTTCATGCACTGTTTCTCAGACACCGCCAGCAGGCGGCCCATCGATGAGCGTGCAGAGTGAGAAGGAACGAGGGTGGGGAGGCGAGGCAGGGAGACTGATGATTGGTGGAGGCCGTGCAATGTTCCCCGTGTTGAGAGGGACGAATTAGAGGAGGAGGGGGGGGAGGAGGAGGAGGAGGAGGAGGAGGAGGAGGAGGAGGAGGAGGAGGAGGAGGAGGAGGAGGAGGAGGAGGAGGAGGAGGAGGAGGAGGAGGAGGAGGAGGAGGAAGAGGAGGGAGAGGAGAGGGTGGAGGGGAAGAGCGTGGAAGGAAGCTTGCGGACTGAGCGAGATTCAATTGCGCTGGGGGAATCCGCGAGGTAGGCATCCACACACACCTGTGGTAGGGAGGATGGGCGTGGGCGGTTGTATCATTCATTGAGTGCATTCTAGGATGGATGGGTGCATTTTAGCGGGGGGAGGACGGGGTGATAGCGCTGGGGGAACCCGCAGAGGTAGGCATCCACACACACCTGTGGTAGGGAGGATGGGCGGGTGTGGAGCACAGAGGGGGTAAGATAGGCAATGGGCAATGATGTGCGGGAACGATGTGGGAGTCAGTGAGGGCAATGGGCTGGGTGCATGCACAGCGTATCCATCCCCACACACCTGCGATGCGGGCGTGTTCAATCGCCGGTGCACACAATCACTGTGTAGCAACCCTCACCTGCTACACAACCCTCACCTCCACACCACCACTAAAAAAGGCATCATCACCGCTCTCCACCCAACCAGTCCCTCAGCTGCACCTAATCTAGCCCAAGCCAGCCCCGCTGCCTTAAAAGAAGGAAAAGATGCTTTCGCAACTCACCCCCCGGTTGAGTGGGGTATGGAGACTCACGCCTTGGTTGAGTGGGGTATGGAGACTCACCCCTCGGTTGAGTGGGGTATGGAGACTCACCCCTTGGTTGAGTGGGGTATGGAGACTCACCCCCACACGTTCTCCCATCATCGCACCGCTCACATGCACGCCATACCCACTCCAGCCCAAGCCAGAGCCCCCGGTGGAGGGGAACACAAAGGCAGGGAGCAATCACACCTCATCCCATCCTCTCTCCCATCCTCACTCACCGCACTCTACCACTCACCTCTTTGCCACCGCTCACCTGCACACCCTCCCCATTCCAGCCGACGCCAGAGGCTCCAAACGACGGGAAGAGGCGGTCGCAGGCCAACCCCGGGTTGAACGAGAAGCTGACATGGAGACTCACTCCCAATTCCCTCACCTACCATCACCGCATCCCACCCCTCATCTGCTCCTCACTCCTCACCTGCGCGCCTTCCCCATTCCAGCCGACGATAGAGCCTTCGAAGGACGGGAAGAGGCGGCTGCAGACCAAGCCCGGGTTGAACGAGAAGAAGGTGGTTTGGTTGAGAGAGTTGTCCCTCATGATGCTCCCACATGTGTCCCCTGCGTGCACTGTGTACCATCTAGTGCACATGGGCAGCTTCGGTACGTCCCCCTCTCCGCTGCCCTTCATCACACACAGCTGCGTGGTGGATTGAAAGAGGAAGACGGGGAGCAAGCAGGAGGGCAGGGAAGGGGAGCAGGTGGGGAAGGGGGTGGGGAGGAGGAGTGGAAGAAATTGTGCCGGCGAGTGGAGAAAGCATGATTATAGAAGAAAATATTGTTGTTGAGAAAGCATGATCATAGAAGGAGGTAGCGTTGTTGAGAAAGCATGATCATAGAAGGAGGTAGTGTTGTTGAGAAAGCATAATCATAGGAGGAGGTAGTGTTGTTGAGAAAGCATGATCATAGAAGGAGGTAGTGTTGTTGAGAAAGCATGATCATAGAAGGAGGTAGTGTTGTTGAGAAAGCATGATCATAGAAGGAGGTAGTGTTGTTGAGAAAGCATGATCATAGAAGGAGGTAGTGTTGTTGAGAAAGCATGATCATAGAAGGAGGTAGTGTTGTTGAGAAAGCATGATCATAGAAGGAGGTAGCGTTGTTGAGAAAGCATGATCATAGAAGAAAGTAGTGTTGTTGAGAATGATCCGCCATGGTGCCCTCACACATGCCCATCACACCGCACTGCACCGCATCTCACCTGCTGGTTCATGCGCGGAGCTATCCAGGACATTCTATCGCAGCTGATCCCGGGGTTGAGAGCCAGCAAATCGGCCACAGTGAGCGAGAGCATGCTTGCCACACTCTCACACGTGTCCTGTGCCACCCACGAGTAGTAGAGCACGCAGTGCACAGCCCCCGTCAGGGGCGGCGCCACACTCACTGGTGAGTTGAACATGATTAAATCACACTCCCCCGTGCCCTGTGGGAGAAGTGGATTGGGTTTTGAGAAACCTCAAAGCCACGCTCACTGGTGTGCCGTTGAAACACACTCCCCCATGCCCTGTGGGTGGGGTAGGGTGGGACTGTGGGGTGGGGTGTGAGTTGCATCAGAGACAAGTTCACGAGTGGTAGACCCGGCAAGTGCACCGTCCCCTGTGGGTAGGTTGGAACCGTGGGATGGAGTGTCCCGTGCCTTCCACGGGAAGAAGAGCGCGCAGCAGTGCACAGCCCCCGTCAGGGGCAGCGTCACGCTCACTGCGATGTAGGCGGGAATGCTATGGCAGTGCTCGATGCCCTGTGAGCGAAAAAAAAGCCTCCTCTGTGAGGCCGTAGAGCTGGTAGGCGAGCGGAACGAAGAAGGTGAAAAGGGACAGCCCAGGGTCAGGCACGCTAAAGAGAGAGGGGATCAGGTGAGCGGGGATCAGGTGAGCGGGGATCAGGTGAGCGGGGATCAGGTGAGCGGGGATCAGGTGAGCGGGGATCAGGTGAGCGGGGATCAGGTGAGAGGGGATCAGGTGAGAGGGGATCAGGTGAGCGGGGATCAGGTGAGAGGGGATCAGGTGAGCGGGGATCAGGTGAGCGGGGATCAGGTGAGCGGGGATCAGGTGAGCGGGGATCAGGTGAGAGGGGATCAGGTGAGCGGGGATCAGGTGAGAGGGGATCAGGTGAGAGGGGATCAGGTGAGAGGGGATCAGGTGAGCGGGGATCAGGTGAGAGGGGATCAGGTGAGCGGGGATCAGGTGAGCGGGGATCAGGTGAGCGGGGATCAGGTGAGAGGGGATCAGGTGAGCCGGGATCAGGTGAGCGGGGATCAGGTGAGAGGGGATCAGGTGAGAGGGGATCAGGTGAGCGGGGATCAGGTGAGAGGGGATCAGGTGAGCGGGGATCAGGTGAGCGGGGATCAGGTGAGCGGGGATCAGGTGAGCGGGGATCAGGTGAGCGGGGATCAGGTGAGAGGGGATCAGGTGAGAGGGGATCAGGTGAGCCGGGATCAGGTGAGCGGGGATCAGGTGAGAGGGGATCAGGTGAGCGGGGATCAGGTGAGCGGGGATCAGGTGAGAGGGGATCAGGTGAGCGGGGATCAGGTGAGCAGGGATCAGGTGAGCGGGGATCAGGTGAGCGGGGATCAGGTGAGCGGGGATCAGGTGAGCGGGGATCAGGTGAGAGGGGATCAGGTGAGCGGGGATCAGGTGAGCGGGGATCAGGTGAGCGGGGATCAGGTGAGCGGGGATCAAGTGAGCGGGGATCAGGTGAGAGGGGATCAGGTGAGCGGGGATCAGGCACGCTAAAGAGAGAGCTCACCAGATGCGGGTTCTGGGCAAGAAATTCACTCTCTGTGAGGCCATAGAGCTGGTAGACGGGTGGGCAGTAGACGGCAATCGGGAAGGAGAGTTTGTAGGTGCGGGTGGTGGCTGCAGATGGGAGAGAGGGGGAAGGTAGAGGAGGTGGAGAGGTGAAAAAACGGAGGAGGCTGGAGATGAGGAAGGCTGGAGATGAGGAAGGCTGGAGATGAGGAAGGCTGGAGATGAGGAAGGCTGGAGATGATGAAGGCTGGAGATGAGGAAGGGGGGAAGACGAGTGGGCAGTCGACTCGACATCAATCGGAACGAAGACGGTGTGTAATAGAAATGATGTAGACATAGTTGAAGGAGAGGGTATGAAAACCCTAATTGAACTTAGGGCGTGTTCAGTTCAGTTTAAGCAAAGAGCTACGAAATGAAAATAAACTGAAACCTTAAAGGCCAAAGCCCGAATTACACAACAAAGTCAACCCCAAAATTCTAGGTTCGGAAAACCCCAAGAGGAGGTTCGGTGGGAAAATCGAACACCAATCGCAGCCAAAAACCACTCAAAATTTTTGACCAATCGCGCGAAAGTGGTGACAGTTTCACACCCGACTCGGTAATTCTGGGTGTGGCCTTTAAGCGTAACTCGCTCTGAACATGGCGGAATAACAAAATAACATCATGATCAATATATCAGAGCGAGCCCTAGCCTGCTCCAACATGGTGTAGGTGGGGTAGATGGCTGCAGGGAGGGGGTTGGAAGGGGGGGGGAAGACGGGGCGGGCTAGAGCTGGGAAACAGGGAAGATGAGGGAACAGCGACTTTTGAGTCGACTCAAAATGACTTTCGATTCAACTCATGAGTTTTGAGTAGAATCAAAAGCCATTTCGAGTCGACTCAGAAGGGGACGACGAGGGAAGAGTCGATGTTGATTGGGAAGGAGACGGTGTAGGTAGGGGGTAGATGACTGCAGGGAGGTGGGGTGGACGTAAGTAGTGCAGGTAGGTGAGTGAGAGGCAAGAAGGCGGAGAGGCGAGGAGGAGGAGGAGAGGCGGGGGAGGAGGAGGAGAGGCGAGAAGAGGAGGAGAGGCGATTGGGATGCGAGAAAAACACAAGGGAGAAGAAGGTGCAACCATGGGTCAAGGATTAAACAAATACGATTTGCTGCGGTTCCTGAAAGAAAATAAATCCCAAAAGGACAAGAGGAGCCGGCCACTTGAACACGTATTGGGACGCACGTGGGAGCGCCGCCCACTTAAGAACATGGGGAACAAAAGACAAGAGTAGCCGCCCGTTAGAACACTTACTCGGGACGCATGTGGCAGCACCGGTGGGGCGGCGCCCTTGCTTGAATCCCCACGGACAGACACAAAAGTACCCGCCCTCAAAGTTGCTAATGCACGTGCCGACCGCACACGGATTGCTGCCCTGCTGACTGCACGCGTCATCTGCAGGGGGGGAGTGGAGGAGGGCAAGCGGAAGGAAGAGGGACAAGGGGAGGGCAAGCGGAAGGAAGAGGGACAAGGGGAGGGCAAGCGGAGGGGAGGGACTGTAAAAACGACTCAAAAGTCACCTCGATGCCATCCTGCTGGCTGCATGCGTCATCCGCAGAGGGGGAGTGGGGGATGGGCGTAAGGGACTTTTGAGTCGACTCAAATATGCCGACCGCACACGGATTATCTTCCTGCATGGTGCATGCGTCATCTGGCAGGGGGTGCGTGGGGGTGCGTGGGGGTGCGTGGGAGGGGCGGAGGGGGAGTTTCTTTTAGCTAACAGGATTGTCGTCCTTCATGGTGCATGTGCCATCAGCAGGGGGCGAGTGGAGGGGGGGGCGGAGGGAGGGGAAGATGGGCAGGTGGGAGGGGGAGGGATGGGGAAGGATGGGGGAGACGTCTCAAAAATACACTTTTTACAAGGATGGGGGGGGAAAGGGACAGAGGCGGGGGGTGTGAGGGGGAGGAAGGAAGAGGCCTTTTAGGCGTGCCTATAGCTAACATAAGGGACAGTAGGGTGGGGGAAGGAATGGGGGGAAGTAGGGGAGGCAGGTGATGATGGGGGATGATGATGATGGGGGATGGAGATGATGGGGGATGGAGACGATGGGGGATGGAGATGATGGGGGATGGAGATGATGGGGGATGGTGATGATGGGGGATGGAGATGATGGGGGAGGGAGATGATGGGGGATGGTGATGATGGGGGATGATGATGATGGGGGATGGAGATGATGGGGGATGGAGATGATGGGGGATGATGATGATGGGGGATGGTGATGATGGGGGATGGAGATGATGGGGGATGGAGATGATGGGGGATGGTGATGATGGGGGATGGTGATGATGGGGGATGGTGATGATGGGGGATGATGATGATGGGGGATGGTGATGATGGGGGATGGAGATGATGGGGGATGGAGATGATGGGGGATGGTGATGATGGGGGATGGTGATGATGGGGGATGATGATGATGGGGGATGATGATGATGGGGGATGGTGATGATGGGGGATGGTGATGATGGGGGATGGAGATGATGGGGGATGGTGATGATGGGGGATGATGATGATGGGGGATGATGATGATGGGGGATGTGTGATGCTGGGGGATGATGATGATGGGGATGGTGATGATGGGGGATGGAGATGATGGGGGATGATGATGATGGGGGATGATGATGATGGGGGATGGTGATGATGGGGGATGGAGATGATGGGGGATGGTGATGATGGGGGATGGTGATGATGGGGGATGATGATGATGGGGGATGGTGATGATGGGGGATGGAGATGATGGGGGATGGTGATGATGGGGGATGATGATGATGGGGGATGGTGATGATGGGGGATGGAGATGATGGGGGATGGTGATGATGGGAGATGATGATGATGGGGGATGATGATGATGGGGGATGATGATGATGATGATGATGATGATGATGATGATGATGATGATGATGATGATGATGATGATGATGATGATGATGATGATGATGATGATGATGATGATGATGATGATGATGATGATGATGATGAGGGATGATGATCATGGGGGATGATGATGATGGGGGATGATGATGATGGGGGATGATGATGATGGGGGATGGTGATGATGGGGGATGGTGATGATGGGGGATGGTGATGATGGGGGATGGTGATGATGGGGGATGGTGATGATGGGGGATGTGATGATGATGGGGATGATGATGATGATGATGATGATGATGATGATGATGATGATGATGATGATGATGATGATGATGATGATGATGATGATGATGATGATGATGATGATGATGATGATGATGATGATGATGATGGGGGATGATGATGATGGGGGATGATGATGATGGGAGATGATGATGATGGGGGATGATGATGATGGGGGATGATTATGATGGGGGATGATTATGATGGGGGATGATGACGATGGGGGATGACGATGCAACCCAACCAGCCCCACAGTGCGGTATCTGACGCACCACTCACTCACCGAACACACGCGTCTTTTGAGGCGCCTAAAGAATCATCTTTTGAGACGCATAACGAATCATCTTTTGAGGCGCATAAAGAATCATCTTTTGAGGCGCATAAAGAATCATCTTTTGAGGCGCATAAAGAATCATCTGGGGATGACGATGCAACCCAACCAGCCGCACACTGCAGTCTCTGACGCACCACTCACTCACCACCCGCATCATCAGACAAACAGCGGCCGCACCCATGCACCATTCACCAACCACACAATCACTCTCGTTTGAGAGCCACTCACCAAACACACATGTCGGAATGCTTCCTTTGTCAAGAACGGAAATGAAGGAAGGAATCAGACACGCGCATGTGTAGCCGCCGTACATTCCTCCGGCCTCACATGCTGCCCCCCCACATGGACTCAACTGCGACGGGCACGACGAGGGCGCTGGTTGCGCGCGAAGGGGGAAGGGGGGGGTGGTGGGGTGAAGGGAGAGGAGGGGATACAGACACGCGCATGTGTACTTTTGAGACGTCTCAAAAGTCACATGGCTGACGGTGTTTGGGGTGGTGGGGTGAAGGGAGAGGAGGGGATACAGACACGCGCATGTGTAGCCATACCATCCCCCGGGCTCGCATGCAGCCCCCCCTTGGACTCAACTGCGACAGGCACGGCGAGGGTCCTGGTGTGTGGGGGGAGGGGGGATGGGGTGGGCGGGGGAGAGGACTCTGTGAGGCGCGTTAAAAGAGCTGATCCATCCAAACACGCGCATGTGTAGAGGTACACTCGTCCGACCACACGTTTTTGGTGAGTGGCGCTCGAACGATAGTGAATGTATGGTCCATCCATGTGTGCCGTACTCTCCTCCGACCACTCATGCAGAGCTCCCCCACATGGATTCTGCTGCGACAGGCACGGCGAGGGTTCTGGTGGGTGGGGAGAGGGGGGTTAAAGGAGGGGGGATGGGGTGGGGAAGAGGAATTGTGAGGCGCCTCGAAAGAGCGGATACAGGCACGCGCATGTGAGTCACCGTCCCCTGTGTCCTCACAGGTCCCACCTCTGACCTCCCCCGTATTGGTTCTGCTGCGACAGGCACGGCGAAGGCGCTGGTGATGGGGGAAGAGGGAAGGGGGGGGGGATGGGGTGAGGGTTGAGGAGGGGATGCAGGTACGTGCATGTGAGTCGCTGTTTTCTGTGTCCTTACATGTACCTCCCCCACATGGATTCTGCTGCGACATGCACAGCGAGGGGAGAGAAGCTTGAGTGGGGCGGGAAGGGGAGAGGGAAGGGGAGAGATGACTTGTTAGGCGCTTCAAAAGAGAAACTGCAGGCACGTGCATGCGTAGCAGCGAGTGCTGATATATATATTTTTTTCTTTTCTATATCTATTTCTGAAAACAGTTTTTTTTTTTTTTTCCCCTAGATTTTCTTAGAGAACATTTTCAAACGGCAGACAGGTGCATGTGTAGCAGCGAGTGCTGAAATCTCATTGCCAATGCACAGGGTATGTGTGCGAGTGCATGTGTGCAAGTGTGCGAGTGCGTGTGTCCGATTGTGAGAGTGCATGTGTGCGAGTGTGAGAGTGCATGCTTGCAAAATGTGTGAGTGCATGTGTGCAAGTGTGCGAGTGCGTGTGTCCGATTGTGAGAGTGCATGTGTGCGAGTGTGAGAGTGCATGCTTGCAAAATGTGCGAGTGCATGTGTGCACATGTGCACATGTGCATGTGTGCATGTGTACATGTGTACAGTACATGTGTGCACTGCAGACAAGCAAGGTCCGCTCACTCTTAATAACGGGGTAGATGGCTGGCACGGAGTGAATGCCACAGATGCCAATGCCTCCCCCGAAGGCCATTAGCATGTAGCCCTGCACGCACAGAGAGAGAGAGAGAGAGAGAGAGAGAGAGAGAGAGAGAGAGAGAGAGAGAGAGAGAGAGAGAGAGAGAGAGAGAGAGAGAGAGAGAGAGAGAGAGAGAGAGAGAGAGAGACCCTTAGCCCTCTGACCTCAGCCTCAACCGCAGAGAGAGTGAATGAACGCAGAGAGTGAGAATGCACGCAGAGAGTGAGAGAGAGTGAATGCATCCCACCTGCACGTATCCCACCTGCACGTATCCCACCTGCACGCATCCCACCTGCACGTATCCCACCTGCACGTATCCCACCTGCACGTATCCCACCTGCACGTATCCCACCTGCATGGCCCCCAGGAGTTGCAGATGATCCAGTAGGCGCCCTGCTGGGATACCACCACACCACGCTGTGATCCACCACCCAATTTGAGACATCTCAACGAAACTTGCAGTTTATCGCACCTGCATGCAACTACCCTGCCTGCATGCAACTACCCTACCTGCATGCAGCTACCCTACCTGCATGCAGCTACCCTACCTGCATGCCCCAGGTGGCCCCCCAGGAGTTGCGGAGGATCCAGTAGGCGCCCTGCGAGGAGATGCTGTACCCCATCACCACCACGCTGTGATCCACCACCCCCGCCGCTGCACACCCTGGGTCGCTGTATATGCCCTGGGGTGGAGGGGGGAGATGGAGGGGAAGAGGTAGATGGTGAGGAGAAGTGGAGGGAGAAGGGAAATGATGAGTGCCATGCAGTGCAGTGCAGTGCAGAGCAGTGCAGTGCAGTGCAGTGCAGTGCTGTGCAGTGCAGTGCTGTGCAGTGCAGTGCAAGCCATGGTGGGTTAACTCACACCCCTTCATCACCAGCACGCTGTGATGTGATCCATCACCCCTGCTGATGCACACCTGTAGAGAGGGTGTTTTTGAGACGTCTCAAAAAATAATCACCAGCACGCTGTGATGTGATCCATCACCCCTGCTGCTGCACACCCTGCGTCGCTATATGTGCCCTGAGGAAGGGCAGTGCAATGCATGGTACCTCACTTCTATCTTTTGAGAATTCTCACAAGTGGTACCTCTAACACTGGCCCATCACCAGCAGCTGTGATCCACCAGTGATAAGGAGGAACAGGAGCCTTGTTAGCAGCAGTTGTTTGTGCCTTGTTAGCAATGGTTGTTCATGCCTTGCACAAATGCACAAATGCACTAGTGCAATGCAATGGCGGGGTGAACCTGGGTGCCGTTCGAGTCAACTTAAAAGCAACTGCTCCCATGCACGAACCTCCTACCCCCCCATCCAGACTGACACATTCGTGTTGCACGTACATCTGTGTAGGTCTGGAAGGACGGGTAGGAGCCTCGCACGAATGCAATGGTGGGTTGAGCCTGCGACAGGGGGGCGGAGAAGGGAAGGGAGAAGACGAGATGAGGACTAAGCGGAGGGGAAACAGCAATTCCAATGCAGCACGCATATATCATGCGCTGCCGCCATCATCATGAACCAGTGCAGCAAATCAGCACCCTGTCTGTCTTACGTATGTTCGTCGCTCGTCGCTGTCTTACGTATGTTCGTCGCCCGAAATAGCGTATCTAGGGTCTCGGGACCTTAGCGTAAAGCGTATATACGCTATACGCGTATATCGCCACGTGGGACTTGACATGGCATCGACTCGCTTAAGGCGAAAAAAGGGGTGACCAGTTTCGACTGATGTGCTTACGTTGACAGCGAGCAGCAGACCCAGCCAGCCTTGATTTGAGACGTCTCAAAACACGCTAACGTTGACGGCGAGCAGCAGGCCGAGCCAGCCGTAGAAGTCCACCTGGTCGTACCCCGTGATGCCTATGGCCGTCGCCTTCCGCTTCGCCTGGACGGAGAAACAGGGCATGGGCGCATGGGCATGGGCGCATGGGCATGGGCACATGGGCATAGGCACATGGGCATGGGCGCATGGGCATAGGCACATGGGCATGGGCGCATGGGCATGGGCGCATGGGTATGGGCACATGGGCACGCACGGACACGGGCACATGGGCATGGGCACATGGGCACGGGTTTTAGGTGCGTGGGTGGGTCGTACAGGACCAACCAGACTCTACGATGGCACATGCGGTGCGATGGCACATGCGGTGCGATGGCACATGCGGTGCGATGGCACATGCTGTGCAATGGCACATGCTGTGCGATGGCACATGCTGTGCGATGGCACATGCTGTGCGATGGCACATGTGGTACGACTGTGCAACATGGTGTCATCTTGAAGCCTTTCGGAAAGCTTTGCCCCACACAAGGCTTGGACAAGCAAAAATGACTCACCCATGACACCCATGACACCCATGACAGTCGAGTCGACTACTTTGTGTTTGACATGGGTGCACGAGCAGGGACGCATGGCAGGGGCAGGGCAAATGGGCATATGAGCATGGCAAAAAAGCACGTGACAAGCATGTGACTATGCATGGGCAAGCATCGAGCCCAAGTGTTCGATATCCCCAAAGCGTACCCTTCCCAGCACCCCCCAAAAGCGTACCCTTCCCAGCACCCCCCAAAAGCGTGCCCTTCCCAGCCGTACCTCCCCAAAGTGTTATTCTCCCAGCCATACCACCCCAGGCATATACCTTGGCGTGGTTGCTTGCATTAGCCGTCCTTCTGAGTGTACGCGCAACCAGCGCAAGGCCACCCCAACGCAGCATACCTTTCCCAGGCATACCTCCCCCAGCGATACCTACTACTACCTCCCCCAGGCGTACCTTGGCGCGCTTGCATTTGCCGTTCTTCTGCTTGTATGCATATCCAGTCTCAGTCGCAAGGCCCCAGACCGCTCTGTGGCGTCCACCATGTAGTCCAGCGCTGCTGTCGGCCACCCGCCCGCAGCACAGCTGCTGCTCGTGCCTTTCCTGCTGCAGTCAAGTACCTGAGGGGTGTGGGGGAAGGAGAGGGTGGAGAAGGGGGAACGGGGGAGGGTTGAAGGACGTCGCGTGGGAGAAGGTGTGTGGGTGGGTGGGTGAGTTGCCTTCCACGAGGTGACTTTCGAGACCACTCAGAAGGGGGAACGGGGGAGGGACGTCGCGAGGGAGAAGGGGTGTGGGTGGGTGAGTCGCCTGCCACCGCCGCAGCTGCAGCAGCTGCTGATATCGCAGTTTGTCACCTGTGGGGGATGGGTTGTGGGGGAACGGGCGGAGGGAGAGGGTGGGTGGGCCGCCCGCCTCCGCCGCAGCTGCTGCTGCTGATGTGGACTTTGCAGTTAGCAGAGACATGGGCGGAAGTGGAAGGTGCTAACAGGAAGGTGAGCTTGCAATGAGAAACCTGATACTGCTGCTGCTGCTGCTGCTGCTGCTGCTGCTGCTGCTGCTGCTGCTGCTGCTGCTGCTGCTGCTGCTGCTGCTGCTGCTGCTGCTGCTGCTGCTGCTGCTGCTGCTGCTGCTGCTGCTGCTGCTGCTGCTGCTGCTGCTGCTGCTGCTGCTGCTGCTGCTGCTGCTGCTCTTGGGTGCAAGCTACGCTACGCGGTATAAGCTGCACGCGTATAAGGACACATAATAACTCAGCAGTAGTAATTTCTCGATTTAAAGCCCCTGCTTGCTTGGGTGTTAGCTCCCGCACCTGCTGTACTGATAAGCGCCGGGGGGGCGCCATGGAGGGCGTCGAGTTAGCCACTAACGCGTACGCCATTTCCACTGCGCTCACTGCTGTGATGGCCCATGATGACCCTGGGGTGGGGAGTGAGAGGAGGGGAGGGGAGGGGAAAGGAAGAGGGAGGGGAGTGGGATGTGGATGGACGGGGAGGGGGAAAAGAGGAGAAGCGCTGAGAAATAGGTCCTCTGTGGGATTAGTTAGTAAGCCCGTTTCTGAATGTTGCATGAGCGTAACACTTGAGCACTAGTCGTATTACAAGTAGAACCACGGGAGAACATCTTTTAGGCGCGTCAGAATCTGAATGAAGGGCGAGACGAGAAGCACCTGAGCTCTAGCACTGCCAGCCAACCCCTCTCCCGCTGAGGGATAATAAACCTTGCTGGGCGGGCTCCCCTCTCCCGCCCGAACCCCGTTGATGGTACTTATGAAAATCCTCAAAAGTACCATCAAATAAACCTTATCAAAAGTACCAACTACCATCAAATAAACCTTATCAAAAGTACCATCAAATAAACCTTGCTGGGCGGGCTCCCCTCTCCCGCCCGCCCGAACCCCACTGGGCATTGGTGGCACCAACCTGGCACCGGGCCGGCTCTCCCCTTCTCCTTCCCCCCGGGTCTCCCCTCCCCGCCAGCACACTCACTGCATTTGCCTTCGGAGCGCAGCGCGAGAACGGGGTCAAGGCGCGGGTCCTCGACCCAGTTGCGACCTTGCGTGAAAAGGTCGGTTGCGACGTCCCTCGTCTCCGCGCTATAAAGGGTGCTGATAAACCGGAAGAACCGGTTCGCGTACTTGGGAGCCACCGGCGCCACCGCGGGATTTGCGCTGCACCGATAGCTCGGGGCTGGTACCGGGGGCAGACGGGGAGGAAGGGCAACGGGAGGGAGAGGGGAGGAAGACGGGCGAACTTTTGAAGCGCCTCAAAAGTCGGGATTTGTACTGCACTGCACCGATAGCTCGGGGCTGGTACCGGGGCCAGACGGGGAGGAAGGGTAACGGGAGGGAGCGTGGAGAAAGACAGGTGAATGTTTCAGGAGCCTCAAAGTCGGGATTCGCGCTGCTGCAGCCATAGCCCTGGGCTACCAGTGCTACGGGGCCCTGGGCTACCAGTGGTACGGGGCCATACGGGGAGGGATCGAGAGGAAGGGATTTGGCGGTTGGTGCTTTTATGAAACATGATGATAAGGGCGATTGGACTGTCTTATCGACTCAGAGGTCGCATCGGACGGATGAAGGACGAGGAGGATGGGGAGGGAGGGAGGGAAAGGGAGGGAGGAGGGAGGGGAGGGAGGGGGGGAGGGGAGGGGAGGGAGGGGGGGGGAAGGAAGGGCTGGGGAGCCTGAGCGTTGCCTGGGATGCGCGAGTCGCGATCGCAGAAGGGAAGAAAACGGAAGGCAAGGAAGGTGGAAGGACGGGCCGACGCACGACTGACCTGTCGCGGCGACAACGTCACTGCCATTCGCGGCGAGCAGCGCGGCGAGAGGGAAAGGAAGGGAGGGAGGGGCCGGTGAGAAAACGGAAGGAAAGGAAAGGAAAGGAAAGGAAAGGAAAGGTAAGGAAAGGAAAGGTAAGGAAAGGAAAGGAAAGGAAAGGTAAGGAAAGGAAAGGTAAGGAAAGGAAAGGAAAGGTAAGGAAAGGAAAGGTAAGGAAAGGAAAGGAAAAAGGAAAGGAAAGGAAAGGAAAGGAAAGGAAAGGAAAGGAAGGTAAGGAAAGGAAAGGAAAGGTAAGGAAAGGAAAGGAAAGGAAAGGAAAGGTAAGGAAAGGAAAGGAAAGGAAAGGAAAGGAAAGGAAAGGAAAGGAAAGGAAAGGAAAGGAAAGGAAGGAAAGGAAAGGAAAGGAAAGGAAAGGAAAAAAAGGAAAGGAAAGGAAAGGAAAAAGGAAAGGAAAGGAAAGGAAAGGAAAGGAAAGGAAAGGAAAGGAAAGGAAAGGAAAGGAAAGGTAAGGAAAGGAAAGGTAAGGAAAGGAAAGGTAAGGAAAGGAAAGGTAAGGAAAGGAAAGGAAAGGTAAGGAAAGGAAAGGAAAGGAAAGGTAAGGTAAAGAAAGGAAAGGAAAGGAAAGGAAAGGAAAGGAAAGGAAAGGAAAGGTAGAAAGATGCATGACTGACCGGCGGCGACAGCGTCCCTGCCATTCGCAAGCAGCGCGGCGAGAAGCACGATCACCGCGTAGTAGCACGCCGCCTGTCGGGACGCGAAAAAGTCTCCGCGGCGCGAGGGGGCGCGGGGGATTGTCTGCTGCATCGTGTTCGATTTGAGATTCGCCGCAGCGCTCTTGAGCCGCCGCCGCCGCCGCCGTCGCGTGCGCGCAGCAAACTCCGTGGATGCCGTGCTGCGGCTGTGCGGCGCACAGAATGTTCGCTACTTATCTCGGCGCACTCGATACTAGTCGGCGCTGCTGCCTCGGAGGTGAGACTTCCGGAAAGCCTCCTTGACACAAACTTGAAGTCCGATGTGAGCCTCCTCGGCGCTCCTCCACCACCAGGGACGCGGCAAATTTGAGGCGCTTGGAAATCTGAGCCGCCTGGGTGGGCCGGGGTATCTCGTGATAGTGGCGAGCCTAGAACATGGGGCCGCCGCTTGGGGATGCTCAGGGGGAGGGAGGGACTATCACGACGCTCAGGGGGAGAGGGACTATCACGACGCTCAGGGGCTTGGAATGCAATTTCCTGCTCTAGTCGCCGTCTTTACCTCCCTCTTCTACACTCCCCATTGTTACTACCCACCCTCTCCT